AACTGTCGACGGGGGGGGATCATCAGCTTTGAGAAAATAAAAGTTACCAACAGACTCTTTAGTAATTTCCTTTAGTTAGGAGCTTTTACCTCATTCCCTGCTTGGACAGTGTTCATTATGTTCTCCTTTGAACCCTTGCACCAAAGAAAACATACCAAACTCAACTCACTATTATAATGATCATACTTGTAAGCATTTTTTCTTTTTTAAAAAAAGTTATTAATATCAAATGTAACCATATTCACACGCTGCTGCACCTTCACTAATCTAGATGTAGGTTGAGGAAACCTTGGACGAGATCCATTGTTTGGCTGGAGCTCTGACGTTATGGAGAGCTGCAATTTAAGATAGGAAACCGTCAGACGAGCAGAGCGGGAATGGTGCACAAAGATCACAAGTGAACCATTTGGTCGCCAATAGAGTGTTCAAGAAATCGGTGTAAGACTGTCTACCAAGCTATTAGCCCTCACCTTACTGAAAAGGTCGGTCGGAAGTTCTGGCTGAACCCTCTTTTCCGAATGAAAATTAAATTCCTAAGATTCAAATCCAAAACACAGTTTGAGTGTCCTTCAAACAAAAACAGTCAAAAAAATAGAGACAACAATTACTCAGTAAATAATCATGTCAAGGATGTCATACCAAAGGTACAGTTGTTTCTCTCTTGTTATTTCTGAAAACACCGATGTCTCCTCTACTAGAAAGTATCTGTTTGACAGAAACCAAAACCTTGGCTATAGGAATGAATTTAGTGGGATGCAAATCAAACTCGAGAAAAAATCATACCTTCTTGTTTACAGGACGAGCTTTGAAAACACGATTTATGGTGGAGACATCATAGTTAGCTATATCCATAGCGTTTGGTCTGAAGAATGTTCAGATTGTGTGACAATTAAAATCAAGAATCCAAGTTACAATTAAAAAAAAAGAAGCACTCCCTTAGTATGTTTCTACATCGTCTGTAATTTTATGGGTAGTATACCTCCTAGTTTCCCTGTTAACGCCATCGAGAACAATTGTATTAGTTTTCTCTGATCCCTGTCAAAAAAGAAACTTCAGTGTCTTCAGAAGCAGAAGTTATTCAAATGACATATATAATCACTTGGATCACGAGATGAGAGAATGAATGAAGTGCTCTAGTAAAATTGTTTGATCAGTTTTACATGATATCCATTCCAGTAAATTCTGATGGTATTACCTTATCACAATCATTGCACTGATATGGTGTCGTTGTAATAGCCGATGAATGTTGCATAGCCCTTTCTGATGTCTTCAAGTGAAACTCCTGAGAATAAAAGCCAAAGAAATATGAGCTAAAATGTTATGCCAACAAAACGCGGTTTAGAACAATGTAGCACCTCAGACAAAGTTACTGTCCGATGCTTACATGAAATTCTGGTAGTTTTGGAGTGCTCCTCTTCCTGATGGGCAGCGATGGAGCCTCGAAAATCTACAGATCACAGACGCATGCTTGAGCTGAGACACAATAAATAATCCACATTTGTATAAAATATTTTCTAATAGCGGATACCGACTTTCCGGTTAAAGGGCCGCGCTTTGAACCGATATACAGCTGTTGAGGCCTGTTCTGTCATAACATTGTTCTTGGGCCTGAAATAATTAGTAAGCAAAAGCCTGTAAGCTAGGACATTTCCAGAAACAACTAATTGTTGATCAATATTCAGGAACTAACTGTATCCTGTGTGTCCTCTGTGCTGTTGCAAGGTCAGGTTCTTGTGGAATGGTTATCTTCGTCCTAGCATGTTGCAAGTTTCTATCAAGAGTTACCTCCTGCAAAACCATTCAAAAACCTTTATATGTTTTCCAACTCAAAATGCACTCTTCCTGACAGTTTGAAGTTTCCACATACAAAACAAATTAAAAAATCTATAAGCAAGCTCAGGATAATACAACAGTAGTTAGCTAACCTTCTTGGGTGTTTTGTGGACAAAATTCATCTCCTGCTTCATATCAGCAACCTGCAATAAAGAACTTGTCAGAGTGTGGTATGTAGCATGTTTCTGGACGCATTCAACATGATAAGCAAAAATCACTATCATTGCCACCGGTTAACAGAACATGGAATACACCTAGCACATTGTTGATAAGGTCCTCGATATATTTGATTTAGAATACCTTGACAAACACTAAACCAATAAAACAGAAAGAAAATGGTAGCTGCTGACTACCCTACCTTACGAAGTAGACCTCCTTCAAGCTTCTGCCTTTTGGCAGATTGAATTTCAGACCCAGATGAACCATTAAAGCCTTTCTCATTAACTTGTTCCAATTGCGTATGGAGTCTATGGGACCAACAAACAAAGTATTATTTGAACTGAATTGAGTCAACAGAAAGAAGATCCCAAGATTTAAAGCTCCTCCAAAAGGTGACCTGGAGTGAATTTGTTTCGCCAATTGACTAGCAGTAGGTTTCATCAATGTTGAGCTCCTAGATGTCGGCCTGATGCTTGACTTTGGTCGGTATTTAGGTTTATCAGTGTGTATGTGATTGCTAAATGTTGGTCCTGATAGAAGAAGAAAAAATGAGAACACTGAACAGGAAGCAATATTAAACAATTGAAAATATCAGATACTAAGCATTTACTTATGGGGGCATTGAGCTTGACCAATAAATTAGAACACCAAATACGGTCAAAACTTAGATTATGTCGTAAACACAAAAGTACAAAACAAATGATGAAGCATTAATAGAATTCCATAATAATGATACAGTAAAGTTAATTAAACCTTACATGGCCATTCAAGGAATTCACAACATATAAAGTGAGCACCTTTATATAAGGGCTGGTTTGGAACTTTCTTCAAAGTTCCACCTTGTAAGGTAGTAAAAATCCCAGAGCGGATTCCATTTCCTGGGAGAAAACAAGACATTTTAGAACATCCAAACATCTGGCCTTCAAATTTGTGCATGGACTTCTACCTCAGTTATCCAAGTAGTTTGCAATCAGTCAAAGATATAGCAACACATATCGTACGCTATATATTCACCTGTCTTATTCACATCTTTGGCTGAATAATCTTGAAGATGCCCACCTTCTCTGTCAGTATCACAAATGTCTGCTGCAGCTTCTCCATCTTCCGATTTTGTTGAAAGCTCAGTCTTGTAATCGGAAACATCCTCTCTGAGTAACAATTTTGTTGCAAAAGCTAAAAAGAAAAAAGACAATACACCAAATATAAGAATCATGAAAATGTTCTTCACTTGATCAAAAGTAAAGCAGAGAAACTTTTATTTCTGGATAAAATTTCAATCGCCCTAAAGCAAGAACAACGAAGAACTCCTATACATAGAAAAAAAATCCTACGCTATAAATGATTTTCACATTGAGAATAAAATTTCAGCCAAACCCCTAACATTGAAGACAAATACACCCATACCGTTACAGACTGATTGGAAGGCATGAGCAGTGAATCTCGCACAACAATTTGTAACGTCATTTACCGAATGATAAAGGACGAAACATTAGTTTCAAGTAAGCTAACAGATACAAAATCAAATCCGAAACGCCACAGAATTTCAAAATCTACTCTATTTTGTACTCTCCCCATGAGCTGAAATTGCATGGTTAAAATCCCCAGACGCGACTAAAACAGAAGCAAACAACGAAACTCAAGCCCTGGAATGTGCGATACTCACGAGACGGCGGGTAGGACTGCGCAGTCTGGAACCAGAGCTCCGCGACCCGAGCCTCCACCGGAGACTCCTCACGCGAGAAATCGTACCATCTAGCCGCATCAAACTCATACTCCAGATCGATCTCTCTCACCTCAAAAATCATCGGTTCAATCTCCATATCCTCCTCCACCTCCATTACTCTCTCTCTCCCCCCCCCCCAAACGATCACGTCCTGCCGTTAAGGACACAAACGCTAACCCACCGTGAACAGGCACAGTAGCACAGCAGAGACTTCTCGTCGCTACTACAACACGTGAATCAAACCCACTGAATCCGATCAGAAGAAACCCTAATTTCCTCAGAATCTCTGATTCATCGGTTCTGATGAAGAAGAAGAAGAAAGAAACAAGGCATGTCAGGGAGAAAAAAACGGCACAGATTTCGCTGCACGGTGATTTCACTGTAGCGACAGAACGTCAATTCTATCCCCTTTCCGAAAAACGCAAAACGACGCCGTTGCGCTAAGGTACAACCCCTCGAAGCGGAGGAAGGTACAACCAGTCAGTGAAGAAAAGCCAGTACGCTCCGGTTTTTGTAACGACTCGAAATTTTTGAATTTAATTGGACAAGGGAGAGGGATAAATGAAAAGACGATAATACCCCTACAAGCACATGACTGTGAGGGTATTGTCGTAAACTCAGTAGCAGGGGAGTCTTCTTTTTGTCCGTCGTGGGGTTTCGAGGCGCGTCTTATCATCGTTCGACGAGACTGAAATTCCGGCGAGGTTGGAATTACCCCTCATACTTCCGGATATTTTCGATTCTGCCACTAACGGTTGTATTCGTTTGTCCGGTAGGCCCCCATTTTCTTTAAATAATATCGGTTTCCCCCTTTTTTGCAAATAAAATAATAATAATGTTGTATATAAATTACGACGGCCAAAAAGGTTACAATGGATTTATCATTATTTAGTAAAGTTGAAAAGGTTATGAAATGGGGGAAAACGAAGAATTCATAGAATCGATCGACGATCTATGTATTAGGTGGGGTTGCAACGATCGGCGATCCACGCATGGTCGAGTTGGGAGGACATTACGGTTTGGCTTCTCGGCACATAGGATTATAGGAGGATACATTGGGTTGTCTGTATTGTTTGGTATATATTTATAATTTGGATAGAGAAGAATTCTAGGATCCACACACAACGGTTCAAAGATATCTCGGTACTTCCTCGAAACATCGACACCGTCTGTCTAATCCGGAACTCGCCAGTTACCAAGTTTACACGACCCGGAGGCATTGGTCTCGGCTCATGTGCAAGCTCATTTTTCGGTTTTCTAAAGATAAAATTTATTTTTATAGAGATAATATTTTTTATTTATTAGATGGGCCTAAGATCCCACCCCATATAAAATGGGTCCGCCCCTGTTAAAGGGCGTGTCTTTGTCCTTAATTCTTAACAATTAATTGGATTTATCTAGAGATCAATTATGTTAATGTGCCATACCCACGCTATTTCCATTATCTCCACAATTCGAATGAGAAATTTATCTTCTGGCCTCTTGTAAATAAGGAAATTGTAAAAGGGTTAGAACACATAACAAGAAATACAAAGCAAAGTAAATGTAAAGAGAAATACTTTAAAATTTAGCTTACAAAATTTATATTTGTGAAGTTTAGATTTGGATGACTAACCATTGGTGATATAGAGTCTATAAAATTTAGAAATATTGTTCTCCTTTTATATATTAAAATTTGTAAAATTAAGTTGTTGTCAGATGTTTAAATAAATTATTTATAGTAAAAACTAAGATTTTTTTTATTATATATACTATATTTTATAACCTTTTTTTTAAAAAAAGTAGAGTTTATCTAATATTAATTAAAAAAACATTGGTTTACTTATCTAGATTTAATTAATTTCAAGAGTTACAATGCATTGTTCAAGAAATAAAAAAGATTTACAAAGTAAGGTATGTCTATTCAAACCAGCAAGTCATAAACAAAACTTTAATATTCTAAAACTCCTATTAATATATTTATTTAATTTTCATTAGAAATCTCTTGATAATATGAATTAATATTATACTTTTATTTTAATTTAATTGGAAATCTATAAATTGATTAAAAAAAATATTTTTACTAAGATAAATATGTTGAATGATAAGGGTTCTTAGAGTTTTTGGATTTTAATAATTAAAAAAATCCACAATCAAGTTTCTTTTAATTTGATTTTTCTAAAACCCGAAAATCTACTCTATGAAAAAAAATCAACTAAAAACTAAAAACCAATTTTTTTTAAATTTACAAACTTATAGAATCCAAAAGTCAAAAACTAAAACAAAAATTCCAAAATAAAAACCAATACCATTCAACACCAAAATTTTATCCGTGTTTATGTTAAAATTTTGAAAGTACAATTTTCTAAGTGTTTTTTTCTATTTAATATTTTATTAAAAAGGAGAAAAAAAATTATATCTCCCTTGGAAAATGGTGTAAGGTCGAAGGCACATCTTTCATTTTCTCCAAGTTTCCACCAATAAAATGCCTCCTTTATTTATTTATTTTAACCCATAGGTTAGAGAACCATAAAGTCAGACCACATATCATTTGTGTTATGGTCAGACCAACATTTTCCATATTATAAAAAAGGTAATGTTTGTGTTGACACAGAAAAGGCAAATTGGTATTTGTTATTTCTTTAAAAAAATGGAAAATGAAAACTTCTACTTTTTTCACCCCCAACGTTTCGAAATATTACGGCTCGTACTCTTCAGTTATTAGCCGTCCGATCATCAGATAGTGAGGTGGAGTGACGTCATCATTAATTACCGGGCTCCTAGGGTTCATTTGTCACAGACTGATACGGTGAACCATCGGTACCTGATTCCCTCACCTTCCATTAAGAAAAATGGAAACCGTGCCTCCTCATATATACACTATATATACGCGTGGCGAGGAGAAACCACTGTCTTGCGTGTTTGGGTCTCTCTCTCTCTCTCTGGAAAAAAGGGTTTTGTTGCGACTAATCGGAAGAAATCGAAAAATTTTCCTAGAATCTGATGACGAATTCTTGTTGATCTTCGTTGGAAGATTAAGAAACCCACGGAGTTTTAGATAAGTTCTTCGGGAAATTGCGAGAAGCTTTGATTCTGGGGAAAAGTCTCCTTGAACATCCCAGACAGGTAAATCTAATTCGCCTTCGCCTTTGGCTTGTTTGATGGAGGGATTTCGAGTCTGTGTTTGTGCTGTGTTTGTTGACGAATGATCGGTACAATTTTTTTGGTTTTCGTCGGGAAAACCTGTGAGAAATCGTCGGAAAAACAGGCTTAGACATGTTCTTAGAATTGGGTTCTTTTTGTCACTTCGGTTTCACAAAGGATTCTTATCGAATCCGAGGAAAAAAGGTTCTGGGATTCGGTTCGTGGGATGGCATCGCTGCGATTTTTTTGTAGAATTCTCTTCCTTCATTTCATTGGTCGAGATTTGTTGCCTTGGAACATAACATGACTAAAGGTGTTGTTTTGTTCGTTTGATTCGCCGATCTGATCCAATTTTGCAATAGGGGCATCATGAATTCCGTCAAGTTGATGTCGAAATGCTTATGGCTTTTGCGAACTCATTGAACCCTGCCTTTGGGATTAAACTCAAATATCATCTGAAGATCTGAAAGATTTACTCAGACAGGAAATAACTTTTTTTTTATATGATTTGTTCAGAAGAACCGAGAAGTAGAAGAAAGGAACTCGGAACTAAGATGGGCTCTGAGCAAAACGACAGTACAAGCTTCCCACCATCAGAGCCGAAGCTCTGCGCTAATGGCTGCGGCTTCTTCGGGTCGCCTTCCAACATGAACCTCTGCTCAAAATGTTACAGAGACCTCCGAGCCAAGGAGGAGCAGAACGCTGTTGCCAAAGCCAGTGTCGAGAAGTCATTCAAGCCGTCAAATGGCAGGCTCCCAAAGCTAGAACAGCCTTCAAAACCCAAGCCCGTGTCTGAAGAAGCAGCCATTGTTGCCACCGAGACAACATCTGCAGCAACAGCTGACCAGGGCGAGCCGTCCAGACCAGTGTCCAACCGGTGCTTCAGCTGTAATAAGAAGGTCGGGATCATGGGGTTCAAGTGCAGGTGCGGCAGCACGTTCTGCGGCGATCACAGGTACCCGGAGAAGCACGAGTGTAGCTTCGACTTCAAAGAAGCTGGTCGTGATGCTATCGCTAAGGCGAATCCGCTGGTCAAGGCGGATAAAGTCCAGAGGATCTGAACTGGATATCTCTAAGCATTCGGGTTTGTGTTTCTTCTTCTCATTTGGTCCGTTGGGTTGGTTTCGGGATTGTCTTTTCAGTGGGGGATGAACTTCTGGCGTGTGTGCAAGTTCCTGAGATGATTGAGCTTAAAGTGAATCAGAGTATGTAACTTGCTTTCACTCGGTATTATATTTGATCGTCCTGCCTTTGTTTCTACTGGACTGAGCATTGGATTCTTGGAAATACAACCCTTAGAAGGGGGTTTCTATATAAATAAACATTATATGGACCGACCCCCCCTCCTCGATGGGCTTGTGGCTTGGTGCTTCAATTCCAACTACAATGATATATTTTCACGTAAATCACAAATGGTTAATTGGGTTTGTTGATATAAAGGTAATATCATGAATATACGTGATATTTTTAATCAAATATTTAATTTTTAATATAGGATCATGTGATCTTCCATGGTAAGACAGATACGGTGAAAGGATGGGGAAATAAATATAGGTTTGGACAAGACATGAACCGAGAGGATAAGTGCAGAGTTAAATCGAATCTTAATTGGCGGTTCGGTTTTTGTAACGAATCCGTCGAGTGTGATGTGAAGTGGTTCCACTTTACATGGACATACGCGGATTTGTGGGATTCGTTCTCGAGAAAACCGTATCAAGAGAGGTCCATGTTCTTGCCACGTCAGCCCGTTCGGTTCATTCTGATTTATTATCTTTTAATTATTTTTATTTTTTGTGTCTTGGATTGATTCTTTATGATTGGATTTAGGACGTCTCTTATATCATTTTTTTTAATTCTTATATCATTTTGCAGTCGTCACCATCTAATAATTCTTCGTTCTAGAAAGATAACATATTCAGAATTTTCAATAAGAAAATTTGCCCAATTTAACAGTAAAATAATATATTTTGTACACAGTCAAGTTCGAATATAGAATATGTTGAGATTATGATAGAATTCTTTGTGTTTGAGCGTACTTTTATGTTTCTTTTAAGCTTTATAGTAATTATTCAGATTTTTAACTTAGTCCGGTTAAGCCAAACGGGTTTTGGATTAACCCGAAAGTCCGATTTTAAAAATTATAAAAAAAATGATACTAATAACAGAAAAGAAAACTCTAATCAAAGTTCGGTTCGATTATAACCTGAGTTTGAATAGGTTTCGAATTTGGTTTTATAAATAAATAAAAAATCAGACAGATCGGGGCGGATCGACTTGGTTGACATCCCTAATTAGTTTACTTAATTGTCATTTTTCACATTGTATATTGTTGTTTTTCTTGAAAAAAAAACGAAAATTTTTGTAACTTGTTTTTCTCCGATCACACATTCAACTGTATCTCAAATCCCTTTATATATGTAATTGCTTCTATCTTAATTATTCATATCGTATAATTCGAGGTGTTATCATTGAGCACTATAACAACACTATGTCGTTCTCTCACATTCCTTGCGTGATGATTGACATGAAAGCAAATTTTGAATATTCAGACATTCTCAGATCCTCTCAACTAAATTTTGACTGGACTGTCATTGAAGTGCCCAATATTGATGTCGTCGAATTATACAAGATGAACAATCAAGATGGAAGCAATTATGGATCCCTAGGATATCCGGATGTAGTTGAATCTGTTACCAGAGTGATCGTTGACGAGAAAAAAAAAACAAGTTGGGTCGAACATCATCTATCAGAATGTTGAACACTTATGTTTCGAGAACCAAGGAGACTCGTATTTAAAACTCTATGTCGAGGGGTTGAAGGGAGGGCGAGAATTGAAAAGGAAGAGCAATGAAGAACGAGATTAAGGAGATGATGTGGACAATCAGATCAATGAAGAAGAATGTTGGAATTTAATCGCGTTTGAATAATTATGGATATTTGACCGAGTATGTCGACGACGCAAAAGGAGCGATGGTTTAACAGCTATGCTGAAAAAAGAAAATAAATTGCGCAAATGAGCGCGGTTAAAGCCGAAAAAAAAAGAAAAAAAAATGTGGGGCAAATGCGCGAATCGACGATCGAAATTTTCCAATCGAAAAGGTTAAAAGGCGGGTTTAGAAGAGATCCTTACGACGTTTAATCGTACAAGCTCTGATACCATAATAGAAAAAGAGTGGATTTCTCATTATTCAACATAGAAAATTACAATATTTATAGGTAGAAAATAGAATCACAATACATCTTATTTAATCAATATAAATATAAAAAAATATAAAAATCAAATCAAATCTAAATATTACATAATCATAATCCTCTCCACAACTAAGATCTCTTAGTTAGGTGGTGACTTGCAGACAAAATTGGACCAAGCATTACCTTTGGATATGGTTCCATAGTATTTGTTGATTAGTTTTTTATTTTTTGTTTTTTGTTATTTTCGTCATGTATTTAAATAAATATATAAAACTTATTTATTTTAGAATGCATTAATTTTTTAATTATTAAATAAATATATAAACTTTACCAAAACTATCATTGACAACCTCATCCAACTAACATAATCTATTGACAAGATGCTTTTAAAACATATATATATATATATATATATATATATATATCAACCCAAAATCATTGCCACATACATATATACATTTATTTATTTCAATATAATTTTAGTGTATGTATATATATATATATATATATATATTATATTTATCCATCTTATCATTAAACTAATTAATGTAATGGAAATCCCATGTGGAAGACACCTAATTGCCTCGAGTCTTGTCGTGGTTATGCTTTCTCACGAAGCCAATTCGTTGTCTCCTTCCTCTCTTTGAAGTTTTATATAAATACAATGTATACATTTAATAAATATCAAAACTCTACATATATATTTTTAGATAAAAAAAAAATAAACATTTTAGTTTAAGCAGACCATGAATAAACATTATAAGATCATTTCCCCAAAAAAAAAAAGGTGGTATAAAATCATGTAAGATTCGGACTATAGTTTTCACAGTAGGACTCGGATTATTTTATGGGCCGGGCTACATATATGAGCCTATTAAGCCCATGGTGATGGATGCTGCTTTGCCTGAACCGTTGTATGAAAAGTGAAAACTATCTGGCCCTATATTGTTGCTTTTATAAAGATAAACAAAAGTTTTAAAAAGAGAAAATAATAATAATAAAAAATCTTAACTTACACATTTTCACAAAACAAAACTTAAATTTTAATTTTAATGAAAAAAAACTCTAACTTGATTTTTAGTTGAAGATAAATTTTAATTTTACAATCTATCATTTTTAAATTTGAATATTAACATGGCGTATCGATATTTTACGTGATAAATCATTTTGATTGATCTAACCCGTCATCATCCATATTTACAATTTAGTTTCTATATCATTTTTATTAAATATAAAACAAATAATATATATATATATATATATATATATATAATATCACTATATCATGTCAGTATTGTATTGAGATTTAAAAATGATAGTTTATAAAATTTAAATTTATTTTTAACTCAATAATCAAATTGGAGGTTTTATTTAAAAAACAAAATTTAGATTTTGTTTCATGAAAATTGATAATTTCAATTATTTTTTTTAGATTTTCCTTTATAATTCGGTCGAAATTACCAATCATAGGCATATTCTGAATATTTTTTAAAAACGTGAAACTAAAATTATAAAGAGAATTTATGGAAAAAAAATTGAATAATTTTATTTGAAACCTTTTTAGTTAAAGTTGCAATCACAAGGTATTGTTTATGGGATGCAATGCAACCACTGGTTTCAAATAGATCGGA